CAGCTGTATATATGCCCTAGAGGGAGGTAACATGAAGCACTCTCTATACATCCTTCTTTCTGCAGTCTCCAATGATGTATGGCATGTTTGTTAATACTATTGTGTGAGACAATTCTCTGAGGGCACAAGAAGAATACATGTTGGTTTGTAAGCAAAACCAGACATAGGAGCCAGAGTAGAAAGAAAAAGCTCACATCTTTGTTACAAACCATAACAATGGTAGGTATTTAGTATTTGCCATATGTCAGACACTATATAAGGCAAATCACATTCATTATCTCTAAGCCTTACCCACAACACTTTGAAGGTACAAGGTGAATCCCCACTTGCAGATCAGGAACAGGAGAGATTAAGAATTTGCCCAGGGCCACACCACTGGGAAATAGCAGATCTGTATTGTACCTGTCTGCCTCATCCCACTGATGAGGCAGTTCCTTTGATCAAGGCTGTTCCTTCTAGTATGTGAAGAATTCATTACTTAAAAGTGTTTCATTCGTATTATATAGTGTCAGCAATACCAAATAAAGCCCAGGCACCTGGTTCATTCCTTAATTACCTCTTTCTCATTCTAGACTAGGAAGCATAGCTTGGAGCAGGAGGAACAACATGAGTTACTAAAGCTCCATCAGTATGGGAAATTAGCCTCATGAACAAAGTACTAAAGCAACCCAACCCCAAATCCCTTAACTGGTGCCACAAGATGTGATCCCCATGAAGCAGGATTCTTGGAGCCTATCGCTTTCTGTCATTCAATATTGTCCCTGTTAGCAATTCTGCAAACTGGAAGTGCCTCCTACCTTACATTACTAAACCAAAGCGCTTAAAATAAGCTTAGGACTTTATATTCTATTTCAAGGCAGCATTCTTTTTCTTAGGTGGACTTGTTTTTTGAATGGGAAAGTGACTTGGCTTACTCAATAAAGATAGATCCACCTCACAGCCCCTTAAGTCTGACAGATCTTTTTTCTTTCCTGAAAGCTGTGAGGAATTTCCATAATGCCCCGAACTCCCAAATTTGTGACCAGAACAGGCAGCACAGTGTAATAAAACAAGTGTGGTTTTAAAAAGCTTTAGTTTAATAATTCACACACCTGAAGGCTCAATTGTAACAACTCAAAAAAAGAGCTACACAAAAGGAAATTGGCTTGTAAACACACAAGCAAATACAGTGGATTACTCAGAATGCAACACAGCTTTGCACCAGAACTTAGACCTTCATAAACTCACTAAAAATAAAACATTCTCAGAAGAAGGGGGAAAGACCTATGTACATGTTTATAGTATTAATGTTTCTACACTATAGGATATATAGGTAATTAGAAAATTTTTTTCAATGCCAATTTAAAATATTTTACCTCAAATTTACCTTTTGACAACTAATTTTCACTAAAGGGGATGAGATTATCCAATTAGCCATACTCAAAGTGGCAAATATTTGGAGATCATTGATCCAATTTAAAATTATGAGTGAGTTCAGTTTCTTATTAAATATAACCAATGCCCTACACTCAGCAAAGCAGTAGCCTTGTCAGCTTAGATACTGCCTTGTTTTTCTTCTCACTGAGAACTTGTTAAAAAAAAAATAGATATTGCCTTGTCAATATCCAAATTAAAGTGAACAATGTTAGACTAAATATTTGAGAAGTTTCCTTAATATCTTTTGCTCACAAATGCCTCCTCTATTGAAATTCAGCATAAACACTGTTTTTCTATGGCTGATTGACACCCATATCTCTTCCTTCTCAAGATGAATAGGTGGGACTGGGATGGGGCTAGGGGAGCATAAAGTAGGTCCTAGGTTTTTCCAGCTGACTCCAACTTCCTCATGTTGGTTCAGATTCCTCTAGGAATCTGGCATTTAACTGTCAAGCAGTCTTCATTATATGTTTTTTGAATTTTTATGTAAAATTTCACTATATAAAGTTGGCTGATACAATCAACTCTGGTGCATAATTAAGTGGTATCAAGATATGATGCAAATTTAAGATGATTTGCGGATCAGTTTAATGAAATGGCAGGTGGTAAAATGTTCAAATTCTTTGGACTTTATAAAGGAATTCAAGGAACTCTGGATATGAAGAAATTGCTATGAAATGGCAGAAACTATTAGGATGTGAATCTATGAAAAATAGTCTATAGTTAATAAATGTTTAAAAGTGGTGAAAAGCACACACTCTAATTCCTCTCTTTTGTTGTATTACTTGTATGATGGCAAGTAATAACTGGCAAAATACCTACATAGCTGGCAAAAGAACTACATCTCTATGCCTTAACTTCCTCACCCATAAACATTTATTACCTGTATCATTTAGGAAATTATGCTAAGCACTTTGGGGATTCAAAGATACCATCACGTATCTTACTTTCAAGAAAGTTTAAAACCTAGTTGTATGACTAGTCTTAAAAAAAGAACAGAAAAAACCTAGTTGAGGATGAAAGTAGTACATAAGTAACTATATGGGGGGAAATATAAAGGGGAAAAATTGACTGTGGACCCAGGAGTAAGACTGCCTGGATTGGACTAGCTCCACTGCTTTCTCTGAAAACTAGAGCAGTTATTAACTCTTTGAGCCTCAGTTTCCTCATCTCTAAAATGGTGATAATAGTAGTTACACCTCAAAGTATTATATGATAATTAAATAAGCTTAATATAAAGAGTTGATCAAAACCACAATGAGATACTACTTCAGATCCATTAGGGTGGCTACTATCAAAACATATACAACAAAACAGAAAATAACAAGTGTTGCCAATAGTGCAGAAAAATTGGATCCCTTGTGCATGTCAGTAGGAATGTAAGATGTACAGCCACTGTGGAAAACAGTACAGTGGTTTCTCAAAAAATTTAAAAAGTTACTCTATGACCCAGGCAATACCACTTCTAGTCATACACCCAAAAGAATTAAAAGCAGGGAATTAAACAGATATTTGAACACCCATGTTTAAAGCAACATTATTCACACAGACAAAAGGTGGAAACAACCCAAGCATCCATCAACAAATGAATGGAAGAACAAAATGTGGTGTATATATAATAGAATATATCATTTGACCTTAAAAAAGAATGAAGTACTGATACTTGCTACAACATACATGAACTTTGAACACATTATGCTAAGTGAAATAAGCCAGACACAAAAGGACAAATATTCTATGATTTTACCTATATGAAGTACCAAGAATAGTCAAATTCACAGAGACAAGAATAGTAGTTGCCAGGGGCTAGGAGAAGGGGGAGTTACTGTTGGCATCCATTAAGACTTTCAGTCTGGGATGATGAAAAAGTTCTAGAGATGGATGCTGGTGATGGCTGCATAACAACATGAATGTATTGATACCAGTGAACTGCACACTTAAAAATAACTAAACTGGTAAATTCTATACGTACATTCTACCACAATTTAAAAAACAAGCCAGCCTATAATCCTAGCACTCTGGGAGCAGAGGCGGGCGGATCGCTCAAGGTCAGGAGCTCGAGACCAACCTGAGCAAGAGCGAGAGCCCCATCTCTACTAAAAACAGAAAGAAATTAATTGGCCAACTAAAAATATATAGAAAAAATAAGCCAGGCATGGTGGCACATGCCTGTGGTCTCAACTACTCGGGAGGCTGAGGCAGGACTGCTTGAGCCCAGGAGTTTGAGGTTGCTGTGAGCTAGGCTGACACCATGGCACTCTAGCCCGGGCAACAGAGTGAGACTCTAAAAAAAAAAAACCTGAGCCATATGGTAACTGCTTGGTAAACATTAACTACAGCCTTTAACAGACTTCAGAAGAGAAAATTATTTACAGCCAGTAGATAAGAAATGTTGATGACAAGGTGCTATAGAAGGTAGGACTTAATGGATGGGTAAGATGGATGGGAGCTACAGTAATTATTCACAGCAGCACTCTGGAAATCAAAACTAGATGTTAAGTGACAGATGTGTGAAATGCTTACGTCAAAATTTAAAAAAAGAAATTAACAACTATTAGTGCCAGGCACAGGCACTTATGATGAAGATATGTTCTCAAGCTCATAATCCAATAAAAGGGCCAAAACACAAACAGTTGAGGATAGAAAATTCATTCAAGGATCAAACAAATGCCTCTTTTGATCTCATTCTATATTTTATTGGATAGTTTGCAGCAGTTAATACTATACTTACAAATTTGAACTTTAAAGAGCTTTAGTTATGCCTTTTAGACTTTTCTTCCTCTAATTCCTAATTTCCCCCACTCCTAATTTCCACTTATTTCTCTCTTCTATGACAAAGTCTGATTTGTGGCTTCCTGGGGCTGGCGTTAGAGGAATTGATTGGCAAAGGGGGACAAAGGAACTTTTGGGGGCAATGGTAATGTTCTGTATCTTGACTGTGATGGTGGTTACACACAGGTATAAATTTGTCAAAACCCAATGAAATATACGCTTAAAATGGGTGCATTTTAATGTATATAAATAGTAACTAAATTAAGTTGATTTACAAAACATGTAATGACAATATATTTTAAATTAACATGTGAAACATGAATATGTTCTCATTTAAAAAGAATTAATATATTATGGATAAAGCTAAAGTTTCCTTTGACTACCCTCTAAATCATGGTTTCCACCTCTAATCTCTCCCATCTATACCTCCTAATCACTGTTAGAAGTCTGATATAGATTCTTAAAAATATATTTACATAAATATATAGACACAGAAAATATATAGTATTGTTATGTACAAATATATAATTTGTATATAACTTTCTACAACTTGCCATTTTCACTTAGATGTTTCTGAGACCAATCCATATTAATATATACCTAGCTTATTTCTTTTAATTCCAATATAGTAATCTAGACTATACCATATTTTATTTAGCCAGGCTATTCCCCTTCAGATGTTTACATTGCTTTTCCCCAGTTCAATTCACCGGGGTAGTGGTAAAGAGGAGTTATCACTGGGGTGGGCAAAGGGACTGCAGATGGTATTCCAAAGGGACTTTAGCCTCATCTGTAAGGTTTAATTTTTCACAATGAGAATGTATTCATGCATAATTTATATACTTTAAGTATTGACTATTTTTAATTAAACAATTTTGTGATACATGAATTAGCAAAAAGAACAAAACAAAATCAGTAACAGGAAGTAAACCATCTATTAAAAATATGGAAAACAAAGTTGTAGGGCATATAATGTACTCACAGTTTGAAGCATAAGTATTTATTAAAAATAATGAGCAACTAAACAGGTCATATAAACACATTTTCCTATGCAAAGCAATTCCAATTAAAATATTAGCATGCTGGTTATGATGGCATAAGCATAATCAGTACATGCACAAATACTCCATTTATATTTTTTGCTTTCTTCTTTTATGACTATGATGTCTGTCTCCATCCCTGAAATGAAAGGTGTATTAAAAAAATTATAAATAGATATTTTAATATCAGTTATAAAATAATAATTCAACAGTAATACACTACTTTCATCAGACATAAACCAGAACAAGATAAAATATGCATGTGGAACTGAACAGTGATTTTTAAGAGTAAATATGAAACATGAATTATTAAAACTAAAAGAAAAAACTAAAATAAGGATAAGCAAAATGATTTTTTAAAAATTATGCTTTGAAGTTCTACTTTAAAATTAACTAAATAACTATAAATGACATATGACTGGAGAATTCACTTCAAATAGAATATTAAAGTCATAGAAAGAATTAAGAAACTGTCTAATTTCCTTATTCTCTTACAGGCTTTTATAAGCTCTTATCTCAAGTCCCTATAATTTACTCTACCTCAAGGGTGAATATCAAAGATTAGCCTTGCCCTATTGAGAAGTATTTCTTGCTAATAACCAGCTTATCCTCTTTAAAGAAAATTATTTCACATTTAGATTTTGAGTATGTCTAATGTATTTAAGACAATGGGGATTGATTAGAGATATTAATAATTACTTAAGTGGAAGAAGCACTTATAAACTTGAAAGAAGTGAAAGAGCACAATTTCTAATAGATAATCAAAAGCTAGTCTGGGTATGTATAATTATAAAATATCATATGAATCAAGAGATCACTGGGCAAATGTTTCATTTTTATAAGAGAAGGACCAAGTCATAGCTTCCTTTAAACCTATGAACTGAATGATAGTAGATGAACAAAATTACCAAACCGATCCATAAGTTGTACTAATTCCTGATTATCAGTGGCCCTGGAGAGACAAGCTATCACTTGAGAGCCTATTATTTGACAAGCACTGTGCATATAAAACTATTAATTAAAAAAACAAAGACTCTGCTTCATGGAGCTCATAGTCCAATAGGGAGAACAGTAAGTTTGAGAACAAGTATGTGTTAGGTAAGGTGGTGATAAAATGGAAGATGATCAGCTCTGCTTCAATGAGAAAGGCTTCAGGAAATGACTGAGCTGGGTCTTAAGAGGATGAAGAGGAGTTTACCAGGCTGGCTTTAGAAGAAAATTAAGCAGCAGAGCATAAAGTAGAAAGGCATAAATGTGGCATCTATAAGTAATTCAGGCTGGTGAGGGCACAAGTTATGTATTTCATGAGGTAATGGCAAAATATAAGGAGAAGTAAGCAGGAGCCCTGATCTCAGAGGTCTTCAGGACGATTCAAAAAAATGCGAACTTGGCCACTGAATAGTTCTAAGAACTGAACAGTCATTCTGGCAGGATAGTAGCAATAGATTCATACGGGATAAGCTTAGAGACAAGTAGAATAATCAAGAAAACTACCATCATTTTCCAGACAGACAGCAACAGGGACAAAGAAGAGGAGGTACATGTGAGGTATCTTAAGACAGAACTGACAGCAATTAGGAACTGACCGGATGGCAAGCAGTAAGAAGTATCTAAAATGACTGTTTGATTTCTGTCTTAGGCGAATAGATGAAGGTCATCTCTTTAACCAGGATAGTAATACAGGGGAAAGAGAAGCAGACTGAGGAAAAGTTAAAGACCTGATGAACTTGAGATCCATGCAGATGCCTCATAAGCAGCTGGAGTATAGGAACAGACCTCAATTGATTTAAATTTATTATTTTAGTATTAATTTATATATCTCTGACTATCAAAATTAACTGTCCAAGTCTGGACCTTCTCTCTCACACTATATATATACCCTTTAACTGAGGAATTATCAGGAAAAAGAATGAGAAAGAAGAAAAAGAAGAAGGAAGGTACAGAAGAAAGAGATTTAGGCAGGCCGGGCGCGGTGGCTCACCCCTGTAATCCTAGCTCTCTGGGAGGCCGAGGCGGGTGGATTGCTCAAGGTCAGGAGTTCAAAACCAGCCTGAGCAAGAGCGAGACCCCGTCTCTATTAATTGGCTAACTGATATATATATAAAAAATTAGCCGGGCATGGTGGCGCATGCCTGTAGTCCCAGCTACTCGGGAGGCTGAGGCAGAAGGATCGCTCGAGCCCAGGAGTTTGAGGTTGCTGTGAGCTAGGCTGACGCCACGGCACTCACTCTAGCCTGGGCAACAAAGCGAGACTCTGTCTCAAAAAAAAAAAAAAAAAAAAAGAAAGAGATTTAGGCAAACACCTTGTATTAATAAACACAGTTAACTCCCTACCTAGATATTACTTTCAAATATCGTGGTTAGGAAGCAAGTAAGTAATAAAAAAATGGAAACCAATATCCAATCACCCATATAATTATGTCACTACAGCTGTGGTTATTTGAACTATGACAAATGTTAAGAATCTTTTCATCAATTACTTACTCTCCTTACTCTTATTCTTATAATCTATTTTCTCAGCATGGTTGTAACAGAAAGACCTGCTCTAGTTTTCAAAAGTAAACAATTCAATGTTAGATAATGCAGTATGAGACTCACCTCTCTTTCCTTCTTCTCGACTCACAGTTTTTATCCTTATCTTTATTTCTTTTTCGTTTATGTGGGCTCCTACTCCGATCCCTTCTATGTCGTGAACATTCAGGATCCAAATAGCTTCCAACAGACTGTCGTGAATCTACAGAAGCCGATCGCCTTTCTTCACCCCTGAAACACAGAAATGAATGTTAATCAGTGCATTTTACCAAGGGTCTCCATTACTTACATACAGACACACCAGCCTAAAATGCAATATTTTATATCATACCAATGGCAGGAAGGGTCTAAATAAATATGTACAATCTCACATTCCATATAAGAGGACAAAGAAACATAGCTCTTACAATAGTTTTGCTATTTAAATATTTCACCAATATGGCTGCCCGCCCCCTCCCAAACTATCAAAGGTCAATGTCAAAGAACTCTGATATAATAATACTGAACACTGACAAACAATAAACAATAAGCAGTTAGATGAATATATAGCATGCTATCAAGAACCTTGAAAATGCTAAAATTTAACAATTATAGGTAACAGATTAAAAGAGTATTATTATTATTACCAAGACAATGACATACTTTGCAGCAGCATCCTCTGCTTTTTCCTGCTCTTCTTGCCAATGATTACTGAGTTCTTCCATGTGTACATTTATCACATCCCGAATCACCTAGGGAGAGTTCAGCACTGAGTTTCAGATAAGAAAGCTCTTTAAAAATTAACACTACATGACTAGGTGTGGTGGGTCACGCCTGTAATCCTAGCACTCTGGGAGGCCAAGGCGGGAGAATCACTTGAGCTCAGGAGTTCTAGACCAGCCTGAGTAATAGCTAGAACCTGTCTCTACTAAAAGTAGAAAAAATTAGCCAGGCATGGTGGTGCGCACCTGTAGTCCTAGCTACTTGGGAGGCTGAGGCAGGAGGATCATTTGAGCCCAGGAGTTTGAGGTGGCTGTGAGCTAGGCTGATGCCATGGCACTTGTCTGGGCAACAGAGTAAGACTCTGTCTCACACACACACACACAAATTAACACAATAAAGCTGGAAAACTTACTGCTAACAATCAAATATTTAGTTAAGGCCTAAGACATAATGGACTGTGGGACATGTGCAATTTAGAGAATGTAAAAAAGCAAGGGTCAAGCTGGAATATGAATAGTAGATAAAAATATTACATCAATGTTAAATTTGAAATTGATAACCATACTATGATTAAGAAAATATCTGTACTTTTAGAAAATGCATACTAAGTATTCAGGAATAAAGGGTCATAATATGTTATGTAACTTACTATTAAATAGTTCAGGAAATAAAATTATGTACAGATAGAGATCGAGAGAGTGAAAAATATGTAGACAGAGAAAAAGAGTACAAATGATAAGCATATAAGGCAAAATGTTAACAATGAATGGCCTGGGTAAAGGATACACAGAAGTTGTTGGTACTATTTTTAGTTTTACAACTAATCTCTCTGTTAGAGATTATTTGCAAATAACTTTTTAAAAACTTTATGACTTAATTATATGACTTAATAAGACAAAAGATGAAATACAGTCACTTCACAGTCATCTTCCCAATGAGACCATAAATCCTTTACCTGTGAGAACCATGTGAAAATTTTTTCTTTCCTATTTACCCATCCTGTCAAACATGAGGCTAGTGGCTGAGGAGGCAAAGATGAAACTAAAACAGAAACTTACACTTACCTCATGCTTAAATAGGAAATGTTTTAAGGACAAAGGTATAGGAGACAAGGGACAATCTCAAAGAGAGACACTATAGCTCAGGCCTGGCTGTGTTTCTCCCCACCTTAAAGAAATGATCAATGGCTCCCAAAGTAAAACGGAACAATATCCAAACTCCTTACTGAAGGAAGACTTCAAAGCCCTCCAGGATTTTAAAACAGGTAGAAACCAGCCTTATCTCTCAATGGATAGTTCCTCAGAAGCCCTCAGCCCTGGATTACTAATGGTTCTCCTAAAAACCATTGTACTTTTAGGAATGTGAATCCTTCCTCTTGGAAAATCCTTATCTATCATTTCCACTCCCCTCTATGTTTCATGTGGAAAACCTATACCATGCCAAGGTGTAACCCAGGAGTGACATGAGTCACACACACTTGCACTCAAATTCTGAATCTCTCATTTCCCTAGAAATCCCACGTGACACCCTGTCTGGCAGGGCAGTGCTCTGAAGTGCACTATCTACACAGAACCTACCTAGCGCTGGCCAACAACACAGGGAAGATTCAGTAAAGGTTCATTCCTTTACTGCTCCCTGCTTCTCCCTTTCCCTCAAATGCAAACTTCTCTATGAAGCCCTCACCAATCTTATCTTTTAAAAAGAATCACTCCCTCCTCTCATATACTTCGATTTCACCTTTATTTTAGCACTTAACACAAGGCGTATTTTGAAATGTCTGTTTCACTTAAACTATAAGCTCCTTGAGAGTGAGGTCTGTGAGCCATTTATCTTTGCATACCCCAGAGCAGTTTGTTGTGCACAGTAACTACAGTATGCAATAATATTTTGCTGAAATTTGTCAAAGTCAGTTTATTCTAGTCCAAACAAAAAATACATAGGACACGTAAGAGGCTAGGAATGGATAAAATGTTGAAAAAGCCATGACCAGAGAGATATGATAAATCATTAAAAGATTTATAAACATTGAAGTAGAGATAAAAAGATATTTGGGATCTACTTTCAAAATTACCAAGTGTGGGGTTAAGGGGAGATAGGTAGTGAGTAGGGGTATAAAATAAAACAAGGCCATATGCTAACAATTTTTGAAGCTGGGCAAATGATGGGTACATAAAGTTCCTTAGACTATGCCAAGGGTGGAGAACCTGCAGCCTTAGGACCACATGTGGCCTCCTAGGTCCTTAAGTGCAGCCTTTTGACTGAATCCATATTTTACAGAACAAATCCTTTTATTTTTATTACTACATTTTTATTCATCCTTTAAATTTATTTATTTATTTATTTATTTATTTTTGAGACACAGTCTCATTCTATCGCCCCAGGTACTATATAGAGGCATCATCATAGCTCATTGCAACCTCAAGCTCCTGGGCTCAAGGGATCCTCCTGCCTCAGCCTTCTGAGTAGCTGGGAAGACAGGCCCAAGCCACAACCACTGGATAATTTTTTTTTCTATTTTTTGTAGAGACTCTTGTGTTTACAGCTGCTATTTTAAGTGACACTTTGCAACAAGTTATAAGTATTGTTAACTATATTCCTGCAAATGCAAGATGGTATCATCAGTTTCATAACATGCTAAAGTTGAACTATGAGGTGTGGATTTGCTGTATCATTTTAAGTCATGTTGGCTATCATAGGGACAAGTGTTAGCCAAAATTTTATCTCTTCAAGAACAGATAGTTAAATTTTTGTTTTTGACAGAGTCTCATTCTGTTGCCCAAGCTAGAGTGCCGTGGCATTCTAGTTCACAGCAACCTCAAACTCCTGGGCTCAAGCAATCCTTCTGCCTCAGCCTCCCAAGTAGCTAGGACCACAGGCATGTGCCACCATGCCCGGCTAATTTTTTCTATGTATTTTTAGTTGTCCAATTAATTTCTTTCTATTTTTAGTAGAGATAGGGTCTCGCTCTTGCTCAGGCTGGTTTCAAACTCCTGACCTTGAGTGATCCACCCGCCTCAGCCTCCCAGAGTGCTAGGATTACAAATGATAGATACACATCTAGGGACTCAACTGAAACTGCTGACCTCCATGCTGCAACCAAATATTCAAAGGCTTTTCAACAAAAACAAGCACAATAAAATCATTAAAAGATTAGTTAACTTTAAAATTAACAAAGTTTTCATTTTTTCAATTAAGTACTTACTAGTCAGATTTTTACAAAATGGACATTTTTAAGCATTAATATATCTAATTAAAATTTCTTGAATGCAGCCTTATTAGATTACAGCTAAATTAATGCAATTTTCCAACATGAAAAGGTTCCTCAGCCCTGGACTATGCCATTCACTTTAGTATATGTTCAAATATTTCCATAATAAAAAATTAACCATAAAACTGTAAAGAACACGAGCAGCAACACTAAAACTTGATTACGAGGTTATGAGACCAGAAAAGAAACAAGTGATAAACCAAGTATCTGAGGAACCGTAAGAATCACCAGGGTAGTATGACACGCTCCCAGTCTTCTACTGGGGGAGGCAAGTCTAAAACACATACTTTAATTGTAAAAAGAACAGCATAAAATTAAGTGCTAAGCTGTGTAGTACAGAGTAGTAGTACAATAAACCAGTGATGGTTCAGAGTCAACTAGTACCTTGTGGAAACAGTGACCCTTAAACTCAACAAGATGTAAAATGGCAAAAACAAAGAGAATTCCAGGTGAAAAAATAACATGTATTAAGGCATGGTGGTAAGAATAAATAAATATGTATAATCAGACATAGTTTAAGAGACATGCTTAACTAAAGCAGAAGAAAGTACTTGGTAAAATGAGGTCAGATTATGGAAGGTCTCTGAAATCAGAGAGAAGAAATAATGTGGGAACAATCAGAGAATCAATAAGGAAATTATTTGTAGAGTATAGGCAAGGTAATTCATATACCAGAAAATTAATCACTCTAACCGGCCATTAAATGACATCTGAAAATAAGTCTACATATACACCAAGAGACTAATGTATAAATACTTTATACTAACACATTCTTAAGCCCAAATATTTAGTAGAGTACTTAAAAGCACATTAAGATTTCTCAAAAAAAACCCAAGCTAATATTTATTGAGAAATTTCTGTGTTTCCATGCATTATCTCAATCGATTCCATTACAACCCTGCAAAGTTTGTAAAATGAAAAAAATTGAATCTAAAAAGCTCAAATTATTTACCCAAGTCAAACAGCCAAGGACAAATAGCAGAATCAAAACTCGAGTTGAGGTCTAAAGCCAAAACTCATACCCTTATCATGATGCGATACTACTTTCTCAAAAGCAGGTATTTTTAAGACTATTCAACTTCTTTACATAAGGCTTTTGTACTATGAAAGCCTTTGCTTTGGAAAGGATGGGTCTAGAAGTGATGGAGCAAATACAAACACGTGTGACCACCCTAAAGACACTTTCAGAAAATTTTCAAGGAATTGTGGAAATTCATAGAAGAGATTTAGAAAACTACTTAAGGGAAATTTTTGTACATCTCAACAGAGATGTATAAGATTATATAAGACTTACCTCAGTATATGATTTCTTCGTTATATGAACATTCTTAGCTCTATAGGACTGGCGTCTTCTTTTATAATCTCTCACTTCTGCTAGGATTTCAAGATAGGATTTTGGACTTTTTCGACTATTATCTAAGAAAAGAATAAAATAAAATTACATCCTTAGCAGCCTTTAAATTCTTATGAATTAGCAGGCAGGAAAACCACAATCCTGTATTTCAACATGTTTCAAGGCAGCACACAAAAATCACAAAAATAAAAATTCTACATTGTATTTATATATGGGCCAATTTTTTTTTTTTTTTTTTTTTTGAGACAGAGTCTTGCTTGTTGACCAGGCTAGAGTTGGCATCAGCCTAGCTCACAGCAACCTCAAACTCCTGGGCTCAAGCAATCCTTCTACCTCAGCCTCCCGAGTAGCTGGGACTATAGGCATGCGCCACCATGCCCGGCTAATTTTATATATATATTAGTTGGCCAATTAATTTGTTTCTATTTATAGTAGAGACAGGGTCTTGCTCTTGCTCAGGCTGGTTTCGAACTCCTGACCTCGAGCAATCTGCCTGCCTCAGCCTCCCAGCAATTTTTTTTTTTTAAATAGAGTCTCACTCTGTTACTCCAGGTAGAGTGCAGTGACATCATCATAGCTCACTGCAACCTCAAACTCCTGGGTTCAAGCGATCCTCCTGCCTCAGCCTCCTAAATAGCTAAAGCTATAGGTGTGCACCATGACACCTGGCTAATTTTTCTATTTTTGGTAGAGACGGGGGTCTCAAACTCCTCAGCTCACGCCATCCTCCCCTGCTTCAGCCTCCCAGAATGCTAGGATTACAGGCATGAGCTACCACTCCTGATCCATGGGCTAAATTATATATCATTCCTTTTTTCTAGCCATTAGAGTGGATAGGTACATAGATTAAAGTACAGCATGGTTGTAACATTCTTACAGAAGGAAAGTATGATTAATGTAAAAGTCAGAGTAAAACTTTATGCACTGAGTAAATATCTTAAAATATCTTAACACACACAGTCATCCCTAGGTATCTAATAGGTGATTGGTTCCAGGACCCCTCAAAGATACCAAATCCATGGATGCTCAAAATTCTATGTAAAATGGTGTAGTATTTGCACATAACCTACACACAACCCGCCATATACTTTAAGTCATCTCTAGATTACTTTTAATAACTAATACAATGTAAATGCTATGTAAATAGTTGTTATACTATATCATTTAGGGCACTATGACAAGCAAAAAGTCTCTACATGTTTAGTATAGATGCAACCATCCAGTTTTTCCAAGTATCTTCAATCCACAGTTGGTTGAGTCCATGGATATGGAACCCACAGATATGGAGGGCTGACCATATGTCAACATTAAATGATACAAAACCATTCTACCCCAACTCAAAGTGGCCTGACAATAAAATCATCATAAAAACACTCATAGGATAAAATAACAATTAAGAAATGTAAAGCTGTGATATTCATCTCAAACCTTGATTGACTTTGGCAGCCAAGTCTACAAAGAGATCACTGTCATTTTCAATGATTTGAGAATCAGAGCGCTGTTTCTTTGTCTCCTCAATTACAAAATCATAGAGGGCAAGACGATCAGCTTGAGTTAGATCACAAACAAACCGTTTGTGATTCAGAGGAACTTCAACAGGCAATGAAGAATATAACCCTAAAGTAAAAATAAAACCGCAAGAATAAACAACACATGAAGCATTATGGACTTAAAATCTACCACTTATCTTTAAACATATGCCTTAATAATGCAATATTAACACAAACTATTTTTTCATAATAATCTATAAATATACAAAATATCAATCTATGCAATAAATGGTAAACATTGACTCTATCTTGAATGCTATAGCCACACAAAGGATATATTACAGATGCTTGCTATTCTCTCCAACAATATTAACATAGATTCCATGAAGGCAGGCAGTAATAACCAGAAGAGGCAATTTGCTCTACGAAAACCTTTGGGGTAACAATTTTTAAAAGGCAACCCATACTATGAAAGTAGATATTATCTATTTACATGCTTTTCCCCATAAAAGCTGAAAAAATGCTTTTAATAGGTAATACACATTAATGTTCCTTTGAAAATAAACTATGGAAATATTGAAAAAAGTATAAAAAATGTCTTTTTTATATGAGACATCAGGCTAGATGGTCAACATTCAAAATACATCCCATTTGTGTAATGACTTAGAGCTATGGGCCAAAAAACAATTAAGTAGCAGAAATCCCATGCTTCCTCAGACCAAAGAAAGATGGATTAAACGGAATTTAAACTCATTTTAATTTCCTAAGGAGGAAGTATACTAGTTTAATCAAATTAATTGAAAAAAGTTAATAGCAGTACCCCCCAGCAGTTATAGAACTTTCCAAAATCTGCTCATTAATAAAAAAAAGCAAATACAATACCTTGATATGATGTATTAAACATTGAAGAAAATTTTTGTTTTGAGATTCAAATTTTCTCAAATAAAAAAAAGATTAGAACTGTAAAAAAAGCAATTTCAAACAATTCTTTCTAGACTTCATTATTCACTAATGCAAACAGAGAACATGAGCTACTAAAGGAATCCTAAGTGCTTCCTGGCCTTTTGGCTAAGTAAGATCAAGTGTAAAAGAATATTTTTAATGTTTGCTAGGTTATCCTAAAGTAGTAACTCTGGTTCACAGAACAATGTAAAATCAATAGCTCTTCCCAGATATTTGATAGTCTAACCTCGTGAACTTCTTAGGTAGAGGCAAAAGAAAAATTCAAATAAGAACATACTATAAACTAAGCATTACAACAAAAAAGAGATGACTTTACATTTGTCTACAAATTAAGAGGAGAGCTGCATTGAATCTGAGGCTGTGGTTTAATAGCTATGGATAACAATATATGGCCATTTTTACTAGGTTTTGAATTAGTGGGGAAGAAGGGTTCCTTTTCAAGTCAATCACTTTTATTCTAATTCTGGCAGGCACTAAGAAAAGTTCATTTACATAGCCAGGTGTAAAAACATTTAATTTTATAATATAAAATTATAAAAAATTAACTTTGATAAGCCCAATTTTTTTGAATATAGGCTAAAAAAATCTGGGAGAAAAACACAAAGATTAGAAAACAATGATGCATGACAAACAAGCTCCACATAAACCTTTGCCTGTTATTTTTAAACAAATATAATTACTTTCTTAAAATATTTTGGCATTTTCTTTGATTTATTTATCTCAAATTTCTTCAGGGTGAAGACTGATACTTGAATTTCTTGTAATTCAACCAAAATTCCAAATCAAGACTATAATATTGTGACAGCTATTAAGATAAAGTTTAGAAATTTGAGTGATACTTTTAAAAGGATATCATTTGCAAAAAGGATACTGCATATCTTTAAATAAGGAGTACATTCAGGTTCCTAATTCCTCTTTATACTCACCCCAATTACTGAAAAAGAAAAAGTACAGGAAAAGTTAAGCAACAAACTGCATTTAAATCATTCAGAACACAGATATTTCTAGCAAAAAAAAGGATAAACACAAATAAGCTTACATTTACATAAAATGTAAATTTTTGAAATGCACGTTTCTATATGATTTAAAGGTACATCTCAATGTGCTGTAATAGTAGTAACTTGTGACTTTCTAGCTGCCTTTTTTTGCAGTAGTTTTAATTGCAGTAAAAGATAACATAAAATTTAACATTTTAACCATTTTTAAGTGTACCGTTCAGAGACATTCAGTACATTCGCATTGTTGTGCAGCCATTATCTCTATACATCTCTAGAACTTGTTCATCACCCCAATCAAAACCCTACTTTTCTACTATAATGCCAATTTGCATTCTTCCTTGTTAGTCACTGTTGCCATCACAAGGCACCTTAAACATATGACATACAATATTAAACAGAAGTAGGAGGTATTGTCACAGATACAAATTCAGAATTTTAGAAAGAATTCAGAGTCAATTCCTTAATATTAGAGATAAACAAATTAAGGCCCATAGAAGTAACATAACCTGCCCAAAGTCTCACAAGTGAGAAGAATAGATCAGCTCTAAAGCAACTCGGTCCTGACTCTTTAAGGTTCTTTTATAGTACACTGATCTTCAAATCATGACCATGACTCAAGTACACTTCATGAAATTGAAGTACAGCAACTTGAATATTTAAGACTGAAGGAAAAAGATAAACCACTCAATATAAAATGATTGTTTTGATTAAAACATCTTGGTTTTAAAATTAACCAAAGTAACTATATTTGAAAATAAGTATGTAGATCTAATGATTGTTCAAGCTTTTATAAAAGTTAATAGATTGAGAATTCTATACATTGAGTTTAGGCCTAATGTGAGTGATGAAATGAAAACATACATAAACCTTGCCAAAAACCTTACATTTTAGTATATAACAAAATATGAATTAGACAGAAAAATGTAAAATTGTTCATGTTAGTCATTCTCCCTTCAAAGTAAATACATCAATAAGAAAATATTCAAAGAGATTCTTGTCCTAGAGTAAAAGATTTTAAAATGTCTAAGACATAAGTGGGCCACAAAAATAATCTCTGTTGAGAAAATGCAGAACTCTACATAGGATAAAAAGAAAAAATTTAAAGAAGGTTACAGATAATATAAAAATAGTTATTCTTAACAATTAAATCTTAACTTAAGATAATATAAGAATTCAAAATCAAAGTTCTTATCTATTGAAAGAACTATTCAAAGTAATTTTTTACTTTTGTAAAGAACTAAACTCCATGTCCAAGTTTGCCTTAATAGCCAGTTATGTAAATTAAAAAAAAAAACATTTTCTAAATTACTCATATATATAAACCTCTCACTCCTTTCATTATCTTAATACTGCTTTCTGCAGTTAACTTTCACTGAGATAATAGTAGCTACCAATTACTGGAGCTACACATCTAGCATTCATTATCTCTATTCCTCTAAACATAAGTCAGCTTTATATTACAGATAAGGAAAGAAAAACTCCAGAAGTTGTCATTTATACAAGGTTAAGCAGCTAATTTATTTCTTTAAAATAGGCTTACACAAAATAGAATAAGAAATGAATGACGTTGATAGTAGCAGGGAGTATGTTCAGATTTGAAGTTTGTGATATTCTTCCACTTAATCATGGTAAATAAATAAATAAATTTAAGCAGTATCTAGAATCCTAGTCCATAAATTTCACTAAATGTGGAAAGTTTCTAACAGAAAATAGAACAACTCAGTTCAGAGTTTGTGCCAAAATTCAGAACTTGGCTCTGGATACAACTTTGCTATTATCTAGCAGAGGCAAGTTACTTCAGTTTTGTGTGCCTGTTTCTTCACCTAATATGGAGGGAAAATACTTGTTCAGCCCATCACAAGTTTGTTGTTAAAGGGAAACAAAAGAGAAATGAATTACACAAAAAAGCTTTGAAAAAAGAACCTCTTAAAAAATAAAAATATTGAAGACATTTAGAACAAACACACCAGAACTTTATCACATATAAATCACAGTGTTTCCTTATCTGTAAAATGCAGATGCTGGATCAGATGATCTCAAAGTTCTCTTTCAACTCTAAAATAAATTCAGGAAATCTACCTAAGCAGTTAAGAGTCTAATAAAGTCCTTTATCAACCCCTTCAAAAAACAAAACCTTTACTTTTTTATGGGTGCACTAACTGAACAGGGCCCTTGAGTAGAACCAATAACAGAGGCCAAAAAAGGCTTGACTGATCACAGCTCAGTCATCTGTCCATGTAAGATGAGAGTCAAATGTCTCCCTCAAAGAAAAAACCCTGGAATTTAGTTGACAGGCACAAAAGTGGGAACTTTAAAACAGGAAATACAAGAAATGTGCTCTGGCTGTTGTAGGGAACCCACGTAATGTAGACAGCCAAGGTAAAATGGTCTTCTTTCTGATGCCACAGTGTAACTCAGAGAAATCAAGTCCAGATACTGACTTGGAACAATGTTTGGTAAAGACCCTGAACTCCAACAAGGGAAAAAAAACCAATCATGACTACAGGCTGGTGAATGTAGTTCAGCTAGAAAAAGGCAAGATGTCCAGAGAAAGCTACCTACAGAAGGTTCAAAGAAGACAACTCAGAAATCCTTATAAGAGAAGCTGGTCAGACTTTGGCTGGATGTCATACCTAGATTCATCAGAAATCTAAACTCTTAGTAACTCATTTACTTCTTTCTGTTTTTGATATATTAAGTTTTCTTTCAATTGCCTAAAAGCTTATGCTTAAAAATTCTAACCTAGTCTCTACTGAAGTCCTAAGCAGAAACTCTGTAACCCAGCTCCAAAGCTAGACATAAAGGGATCCACAAATTCCCTAAAATTGTATATAAAACTTGTGTTTGTGCTTTTTTTCTGAGAGGGGGATCCCTAGCATTCATCATCTCAAAGGGATCCAAGATCCAAAATGATTAAAAACCAACTCACTTAATGGGTAATTCTCTGAAAGAAGCTGAGAGACAAATCTCTTTTAGCCTAAACCTGTCCTTTTACATTGCATTTCAACATTCTAGAAGAAATCTCAGGATAAGACAGTTTCACTTAATGGCATTTAAAGATGTTCCTTGACTTCTGACAAGTCCTAATAAATCCATCATAAGTTGAAAATATCGTTAAGTTGAAAATGCAGCCCAAAGAGTAGAATCACTAGTGCTTAAAGTCTTAAATCTTGTGGTTGTGTATCACTTGCACACCATAATGAAGTTGAAGAATCCTAAAAGGAACCATCATAAGTCAGGACAGTCTACGCTTACTAAATAATAATTTTTAAAAAATTATCCACAAGGCAATCTCATCTATAAAATCACCAGGTAATTCCAAAGAATGAACCCTAGCTAAGATAATGTCCCAATGAGACTCTAGTCTATTTGAGTAGGCAATATTTAACAAATTAAGCTGAAACAAAGCAAATTAGCTCAATGTTAAATGTAAAACTTAACCTTTCCCATGTAACTGTATTCACAAGGTTTTTCTTGTGAGGAAAAAAAAAATATTTGATTCATAATTAGCTCAAATTATGATGTTACTTACTTTGACTGTTATAATCGCCATCTTTTCCAACTGTGGTTCTAGCTTGTTTAATTATCTGGAATTGGGAGTCCTTATCTGTCAAAAAAAATCCATAAATATACTATGAATCATCAGTGTCCATAATTAAATGATCATCTGGTTTCTAATCCAAACTCTTTGGGCACCTAGACAACCCTTCCAGAATCTTGAGAGGAAACATCCATATTGCTGCCTAAATAATCTGAACACAGAATTCTTTCAGATCAATCTAGAGCCCAGTAAATAACCAGACTTCAAGCAGTTCAGAAGACACTATAATTAGGAATGCAGCAGCAGTAGCAGCTACAAATTTCAGCAACCAATAATAGCTAACATTTCTTGGAGCCTGTGTGCTATAACTCTGGGACCTTCTGGTTGCCTCCAGCTAAGTGTCAGGCACAATTCTGAGCATATTACATATATTATTTAATCCTCATAAAGTGCTAATATCACCATCCTGATTTTAAAAATGTAGGCAATAAACACGGTAATTACCTTGCTTAAAGGTACACATCTGCTAGTGACAACACCAGGAGTTGAATCAGGGCATTCTGTTTCCAGAGCCTAAGACCTTAACTCTGATTATGCTATGGATCCCAGGAACATTTCCCTTCTCAGTCTTATCTTCCAATCTATGTTGTATGCTCAGATTTTTGTTATAACCAAGAAAAAGGGCACCTGCCTTATTGAACAAGGCTTTGTAGGGTTTTCACTGCCTTTCTCATATAAACCTGGTCTCTAAATTTTAGGTTATACAAACAGGTTTCCATGTATATTAATTAATCCTACATTCTCTTAAGGTATTAAATGTCCTTGTTAATCATAAACATGGTTATAAAATCCACTCTGAATAATTTAAAAATGAAAAATGAATACCTATACTAAGATATTCTAAAATTATAATCTAATAACTTAATACTTACTCAAAGTAACTGAAGGTATCTTCACATTCTCATAGAAAATATCAGGATTATACATTTCATTCTAAATGGTAAAAAAAAAATTTAGTGTTCTTGAGTATCAGATAATTGAATATTTTAAAATTTGACAAACTATAGATTAGTACCATTTACATATTTCTAATGATAACTTATGAAATTAGGCAAGTACCATCCTACTTTATAAATAAAGGCTATTATTTTATTTCAGAAAACCTTATAAGTTTTGAATATTGTGAATTTATTAACGCATCAATTACATGACATATATATATAATATAGTAAATATATGGTACCTCTTCTTCTTTGGTATAGCCCAGTTTCCTCAATTTACAAGATACCATGTGCTTTGCTAAAGATGATTTAGGCATATGATGATTGGAATCATAAGGACATATCACAACTTCATCCTATAAAAATCAAATAGAAGCAAAGAAAATAGATACATCATTTTTAAAGAAATAATTATACTATTATACGTTTACTATGTGATTAAGTACCAGTACTATCCAGACCTCCTCAACTGCAGGCATCTACCAAGCCCCATGTGGGTATGCATTTTAAAAAACAAAACCTCCCTCAACCTTCCACCCCCTTAAAGCCTCTGCCCTCTTTCCATCCTATCAAAGACTAACTCTTTGGAAGATCTGTTTATATTCACTGTCTCATCAACCTCACCTACAACCATTCCTCGTTCACTGCCACTATCCCCCCACTGAAACCAGTCACTAGGTCACTAACAACCTTCTCATTACTAAAGCCAAAGAACATGTCATAGGCCTTATAATATTTGAACTCTTGGAAGGTCACACCTCAGTTGTCCATTTCTGTTATTCTGATACATCTTTCATGTTCTTCCTACCTCTCTGGCTCCTTCTTGGTCTCTTCTAAAAATCTGTCTTCCTTGCTCTATTCCTTCCCTTTAAATGTTGTGCTGGTAGGTCTAAACCACTGACCTTTTGCAATTCAATGTATGTTTACTGAATGGCTTCAATTCTCACTATATAGTAGTGACTCTCAAAATTTAGATCTTTAGATTTTATTTCTCTCTTGAGTTCTTACATTAAAGACACTAAAAGTTCAACATGAATAAAAATAAATTCATTATATTCATGGTCTGTTAACTCTCAAACCTGCTTCTCTTGTGTTTTCCTATTTCATTGAAAGGTCCCACTTGCTCAAACCTCTTCTCCTCTATCACCCATATCCAATCAATCACCTAGTCCTAAATTGACTCCTAAATATCTCTGAAATCCCTTCACCACCTCCATCCCCACTGTCATTTCCCCAGTTCAGGATATCATCATCTCTCACCTGGATTACAACAGCCATTTCCACACTGTGCCCTCTCTGCTTCTAGTCTTGCTGCCCTCCACTCCATTCTCCACACTGTGGCCAGTCTGAATCCCAGCCCCACTACTTACTAGCTGTACAAAATTGGGCAAGGTACTTAACTTCCTCATCAATAAAACGGAAATAACCGCAGGACCTCTCTCACAAAGCTACTATGGAGATTCAATAAATTATACATAAGATTATACACAGAAAGCAATTAGAACAGAGCCTGGTACATTTATCGAACACTTTCAATAAATGTAAGCAATTATCATTAAAAGGCAAATGTGATCATGATATGCCTTGGCTTAAAATATTTCCAGGCCTTGCCCATTGATCTCATTTAAAAAAATCTAGATTCTCCAATATGGCCAACAAGGACTTTTAAGATCTGGCCCCTACCCACCATAATCACTGCTCTCTACCTCCTCTACACTCTATCTTCTAGCTATCCTTAACTACTTGAGGTTTCCTGATCTAGTCACTCCTTTGTCTCTGCACTTCTATATATGTTGTTGATGCTTCCTCTGCACTTCATCTAGCTAATTCTGCTCCCTTTTATTTATCAGCTTAGAATCTATAATACTTAGTCCCGGAAGCCTTTGCTGACTCAACACAGCCTAAATAACCTGTACCATAGTAACTACAACCCCACCCATCGCAGACTTTATCACATGGTAATGTAATAGCTGATTACATTACCTGATTACATTACTTTTTTTGGTTTTTTTTTTTTTTTGAGACAGAGTCTCACTTTGTTGCCCAGGCTAGAGTAAGTGCCGTGGCGTCAGCCTAGCTCACAGCAACCTCAATCTCCTGGGCTCAAGCAATCCTCCTGCCTCAGCCTCCCGAGTAGCTGGGACTACAGGCATGCGCCACCATGCCCGGCTAATTTTATCTATATATATTAGTTGGCCAATTAATTTGTTTCTATTTATAGTAGAGATGGGGTCTCGCTCTTGCTCAGGTTGGTTTTGAACTCCTGACCTGGAACAATCTGCCCACCTTGGCCTCCCAGAGTGCTAGGATTACAGGCGTGTGCCACCGCGCCCGGCCTCTGATTACATTACTGATTACTGAATCTCAGTTTGGCCAATCACCACAACCAAACGATAAGTTCTATGAGAACAGGAACAGTGACTATTGTCCACTAAACTTCAGTATTAAAACACTAGCAGGAAAGGAAAGATTCATTAAGTATCTAGACTACACTTATTCTAGGAATTATGGATGTCACTTACTAGGATTTTGAAACCAAATCACTCTCTTGAATATCTGATAATTGGTTCTGTAAAAGTTAGATACACACTGACAGCTGACTGTCAGAACTGTAGGATTTTACAAAAAAGTTTCAGAGAGGCAGCATAGCAATTAAGCACACTCAAGAGCCAGAATGCCTGGGTTCAAATCTTAACTGCCATTTATCCACGGACAAATTGCCTTTCTGTGTTTGTTTCCTTATCTGTAAAATGTGTCCAACAGTACCTACCTCATAGGGTTATCTGAAGTTTTAAATGAGGGAACATATAGTAAGTGGCATATACAAAGCATTAAGTGTTAATACAAGGAACCCAAAGTTACTGCAATGCTGAGGAAACAAACCTAAGGAAAGGTTTGGTACGCATGCACAATGCAATTCAATCTTCAAATAAAGATTCTTAAATTTCCACTGCACTTCTAGTATAATAAATACTGAACAGTGTATATGTAAATCAAATATACTTTACATGCCTCTGAAGAATCAGTCCAGTAACTTAAGCCTGGGAAAAATTACAGCCTGGTAAACCCAGAAAGAATACTAGAGATCATAAATTATCCCATGTTGGACTATTTCTCTTCATTACATCCCATCAAAAAAAACAAAAAAAACAAAAAATCAGGATTGTTCACTCTAATATACTTGCCTACATTTTAAAAAAAGCAATTAGAGGCCCGGGCGCGGTGGCTCACGCCTGTAATCCTAGCTAGCATTCTGGGAGGCTGAGGCGGACGGATCACTTGAGCTCAGGAGTGCAAGACCAGCCAGAGCAAGAGCAAGATCCCGTCTCTACCAAAAATAGAAAAATGACTTGGGTACAGTGGCGCGCCCTGTAGTCCCAGCTTCTTGGGAGGCTGAGGCAAGAAGACCCTAGAAGCCCTGAAGTTTGAGGTTGCTGTGAGCTATGATGACACCACTGCACTCTAGCCCTGGTGACAGAATGAGACTCTGTCTCAAAAAAAAAAAAAAAAAAGGAATTCTTTTAGAAACATACTTTAAGAGTCCTCTAATCGGGGTTGTCCCAGTCACAAACATCCAATTTTAAGGCCGAGAAAGGCGAACTGGTCAACTTCCAGCTCTCCTGACACCGAATTTGGCGCAACTGCAGAATCCATATGACAAATGACAAAGCAAACCGCCAATCCCTCTTGCCAGCAGCACACTGAGACCCAATGTCTTGTTTTATAAATATACACTAGCTCTGCCTTTCCCTTCTCATCCACAGCATCTTCCCGTTTTCCTTAAACCCGAAGTTCCGCGGGAGGAGCGCCACACCGGACGTCGGTGTGGAGCTCCCGGGGGCCCCCGCGCGCCCCAGCCCCGGACTCGGAGGCGTCAGGGCTGCGCCAAGGCCCACGGCGCCCCTCGGGTCCCGGGCGCCAGCTACAGCTCTGCTTACGGACCGGGGCTCCTCGCCCTTCCCTCCGGGACACACCGCGCGTGTTCCGCCACCGCCACACAAGACCGCCGGCCGCCGGCCCCAGCAGGGCCCCGCTGCCGCGCCCCTCACCTCCGCCGCCTCCTCTTCCCCGGGATCCAGACTATCCAGGTTCCAGCCCAGGGACGCCGTCACCTCCTCCAGCGTCCGGCAGCAGCTCTCCACGAACTCGCTCAGCTCCTCCTGCAGCCGCCGCCGCTCCTCCATGGGAGGCGGCTCGCCTTCCATAGCTGCAGCCTACCAGCCTACAGGAAGCGGCGGAACTGCCCGCGGCGCGCGCGGGCCTCTGGGAGCTGTGGGCGGGGCCATTCGCCACGTGACTGGAACCGCCTATAGGGAAGAGCCCTGGGAAAGGCGGGAGCTGTCATTTTAAGATCTTCCGATCTCTTCCAGACCTCCCAGCTTCTGCTCCCTCCAGGGTGTTTGCCCTGACGTTCCTTAAAAGGCATTCCTCCTGCCCCTCAACTTTTTTAGAAATAAATGGCTTATATCTACAGAGAAGTTTAAAGTATAGTGCAATGAGCATTCGTTTAGCTGTCATTCTGCTCATTGTTACCATTTTGCCACATTTGATTTCTCCGTCTCTTCACATTCACAGCCCCACATGCTTATTTTTGCTGAATTCTTTGAATGTAAGTTGCAGATTCTTCACCCCCATATATATTAGCATGCATGTCCTCAGAATAAGAACATTTTCCTACATAACCACACTACATCATCAAACCGAAGAACAGTAATAATTCTATAAAATTACTGTTCTTTGGTTTGATGATGTATACATTTAATATACATTTCATATTCAAATTTCCCCACTGTCCCCAAAATTCCTTTTATAGCAGTTTTATTATTTTTTCAACTCTTAAGCTATAAGTGGTTATTGTCTCTTTTAAGCTAGAAAAGTCTCCCTCACCCTCCTTTTTAAATTAAGTAATTGAATTTTGTGATGAGCCTAGGCCAGTTGTCTTGTGGAAAGTCCCTCATTCTAGATTTGTCGGATTTTTTTCCATTCATGATTAGATTCAGTTTAATCATTTTTGCAAGAATACTACATAGGAGATGTTGTGTACCTGTTATTAAAACCTATAGGGACACATATCTTAGATTCTCCTATTAGTAATGCTAAATTTGATCACTTGGTAAAGGTGGTGGCTGCATTTCTCCACCCTAATAGTACATTTTCCTCTGGTAATTGGTAAATAATCTGTGGGATTCCAGCCTGAGGCTGTAAGAATATACTGTTCCCCATCCATCTCATACAATCCTTCACTGAATCTGTTATTACATTGGAAGTTAAAACGATGACTCTAATATTATCATGCCTTCTGCATTTATTAACTGGCATTCTTTCCACACCTCCATTTTGTTGTTTCATTATAGAATCAAGGGCTTTTAAAAATATTATTGGTTTAAGGTTTTTAAATTCAGTATTATATATCCATTAAGATTCTTGTTAATGCTCACATTGTCCCAAATTTGGCCAATGGAAGCCACCTTAAGCCACCACTGTGTCTCTTTGACATATCCCCCATTAATCCTTGAGTGCTTTCTTGCTTTGATAACCCAAGTTTACTTTATTTCCTACCCAAGACCTGGAATCAGCCCTTTTAGTTTCCCCAAATGCTTTTAACTCCCAGAATCTATAATTGCTTATATATTTTTATTTTTTCAAGCCTGATTATCAAGCTTTTGCTTCCCCTTGCACTTTATTTACCCCTGACAAAGAAACTGGAGGATTATTGCCAAAGGCAAATAGTATAGTTCTCACCTAAAAAAAGGGCACAACAGAAAGGCAGCACCATAAAACACAAAAGTGGCCCAGTAGCTGCAAGCAGATGTGGTAACAAGAGTAGTTCTGTACTCTCTTAATATATCCATACTCTTTCCACAGTATCTTTACTTTTTATTTGCATTTCCATAGTTAGCCAAGTAGTGTGGAAAATGTAAGACTGTTTTTGCAAGTGCCATGATGACTCTCATTGAAAAGTTATAGTATATATTTTCCTTTTCTGGGGATGCACCATGTATGTAAACCAAATCAAAACTTAGCCAGTGGCAAGCATGTCCCCTCTCCAGCACATGGTCCCATCTCATCTCAGAGCTTATTTTGGAAGAAGCTTGGAGAGGATAGGAAAGATTTGTCATTTGACTGTACTCTGGTTACTGTTTCAAGCTAAGGAACAGCTCTACACTGAAGCTGTTAACTTCTGTTTGATCATCACTTTGCTGGAGAGGTCTCCTGACGCCTGTTCTGGGCTAGGACTCTGTTATGGATGGAATTGAGCTGCCCTCCCTCCCCCACATTCATATGTTGAAGTCCTAATCCATAATGTGACTGTATTTGGTGATAGGGCCTTTAGGAGGTAATTAAGGCTAAATGAGGTCATGAAGGTAAGGCTCTAATCTGGAAAAACTTATGTCCTCATAAAAGACAACAGAGATCTCTCTAGCTCTACTCCCACCCCCTTTGCATAGGCACAGAGAAAGGGCCATGTGAGCACACAATGAGAAGGTGGCCATCCACAAGCCAGGAAGAGGTCTCACCAGAAACAAACCCTCCCTGCACCTTGGTCTTGGACTTCCAGCCTCCAGAACTATGAGAAAATACATTACTGTTTAAGGTGGTATCTTATCATGGCAGCCTGTGGTGACAAATACAGCATCCCAGCTCTAGCATAGGAACTTCCTTCATTTCCCCCAACATAGCATTTACCACATTTTTCTTCTTCCTTTTAGATTATGAGGGCTATTTTTGTACCATGTATTTCTAGCATGTGATTCATGGCTTCTGGCACAATGTCTGGCACGCAGAATTGAATATTTAGTGAATGAAATTAATTTCAAGTCCTCCAAATTGTGAGGGGGGCCAGGGAAGAAAAGGAGAGGTGAGATAAGGAAAAAATGAGTGTGCTGTGGAAGAAAAATGGCCCATGCAATGAGTGGAGGTAGCTTTCATACTAATACCAAAAGCTCCCAATAATTTACATAACTGATCTTTTTTTTTTTTTTGAGACAGTATTGCTTTGTTGCCTAGGCTAGAGAGAGTGCCATGGCATCAGCCTAGCTCACAGCAACCTCAAACTCCTAGGCTCAAGCAATCCTGCTACCTCAGTCTCCCAAGTAGCTGGGACTACAGGCATGTGCCACCATGCCCTGCTAATTTTTTCTCTATATATTAGTTGGCCAACTAATTTCTATTTATAGTACAGACAGGGTCTCACTCTTGCTCAAGCTGGTTTCGAACTCCTGACCTTGAGCAATCTGCCCGCCTCGGCCTCCCAGAGTGCTAGGATTACAGGCGTGAGCCACTGCGCCTGGCCTAAGTATCTGATTTTAAGGATCACTTTTGTCCTACACAATTAGCCATTTCACTTGCTGTCCCATTTTCTATCAGTACTATGAAATTTATTTGATTGTATTACTATATACTGCTGACACAGGAAAACTGTCCCACTGATTGCTTTGTGTCTTCTGTCCCCACCCAGACTGCAAATGCCTTGCAGTCAGGGGGCTCATAAGTTCTACTGAATCATCACAGCACCTCACCCAATACTAGACATAGTAGGTATTCAGTAAAGTCATGTTAATTTAATGAAAAATGTCTGAATTTCAGTAGTTTTTCTTTGATCCAAAGGAATAGACATATTTCCTTGTCCTTCAACAGAGCGCCAAGAACTCTTCAGGACTAACTTTCATAAATGATTTGAGGACAATTCCTTCCTCTTACGGGACAACATGCAACACCATCTATTTTAAGGATACCCCAAAAAGGAATCTTAGCCACCTCGTGTTTTTCCAATGCTACGATGGTGACTTTGCCAATGCTACTTGGTACTCACTGTCCAGAATAAATTACAACAGGGTATTGACTTTTGGGCTGGCCTCTTTACACAGGTTTCTTTTCAAAGACTCCATTTGGTATACAATAGGCACTAGAGAAATGTTGAAAGGACTAATTTAAAAGACCACCTTCTAACAGGAGTCTCACTCTGTCACCCAGGCTAGAGTGCAGTGGTGTCACACCATAGCTCACTGAAACATCAAATTCCTTACAGCAGCATGCAGAAGCTAAAAAAAAAAAAAGAAAAAAACAAATTCCTGGCTTCTAGCAATCCTCCTCAGCCTCCCAAAGTGCTAGGATTACAGGCATGAGCCATTGCACCTGGCCAATAGTCTTTCTTAATAGGTTGTTAGTAAACAAATAGTTTTAGGTCTATTTTATGATAAACAAAAAGCTGCCCCTACATGCCCTGGTAGAAATTAAAACACAAAAACTTCAAAAGTCTAAAAGTTTATTGCCAGAATAGCAAACTTCATGAAGACACCTTTTTTAAGTACATAGAAAATGACAAGCAAAATAAACAGAAAACTTTGACCAAAGAAAAGCAAAGATTGCTGTTATCATGCACATATAGTCAAATTAATACCAAACCAAACAAGTACATTAAAGAGTATATGGGTATACAATCCACATTCTAAAACTAAAGGAGACACATTCCAAAATGCTTGGTTTTGGGGTGGGATTTGGGGGGGGGGCGGGTAGAGGAGGGCAGGTAATATTCTCCTAATACAGAAAATGGAAATATTTAGATGAGAATCAGAATGACTAAAATATCAGTGATTGATTTATTTTTATCTTCAAGAATAGAAATTTGTATCATAGGCCCAAAAAAGTTAAAGAAGAATTGATCAAAAATCTAAATACAGAAGAGAAGGAACAAATTCTACATTCAAGTTGTGTTATCCTTACAAGTGATTACCACTTCACACACGCTACATCCAAGTGTACTACACTAGTCAAAATGAGCTAAGAAGATAAGAAGCCAGAACAGCCTTTACTATTTGATTTCAACCATGGCTATGTTTTTCGGTAAGCAAAAAATGTTCTATCACTATACTGCAAGCACCAGGTTTTCTTTTTTATTATTTAATGAAGTGGAAATTCATATAAATGAAACCAAGGTATAGCAACCCTTCTCAACTGACTACTAGTGCCCAATAGAGCTGCTGCTAAATGTGTAGGAGTAAGAGTAGGAAGAATTCCCCGTGGCATCAAAGCTTCCCCTTCGGGACCCACTGCGGGAACCAGAGCGAGAGCCTGAGCGAGACCCAGAGCGAGATCCCGGGCGCGAGCCGGAGCGGGAGCCTGGAGCCGAAGACATGTTATAAGGGCTAGGTAAGCCCTTAGACGACACAGAGGCAGCTTCCAGAAGGCGCAACCCAGTGATATCTTCAACCATGCAGCGATTAATGGCATCCCTGTAGGATAT